TTTTTTTCTGCTGTCAATTTCACCTCACTCTACCTATCTACCACTACTACTAATTATAGTCCTACAGAACCCGTAGCAGCCAGTGCGCCATTTCGGCAATAGGGGCAATAGGGGCATATCAAAATTTTTCCCGAAAAGAAAATGTCGCACTGGTTTGCCTTGTGCTTGAGGTAAACAATACCCCCAGCAGCTGTGGGAGTCTGACGTTCGGCACCAGCCCCGGTACCGCAATTAGCGTGGGCAGGAGCGCCACCACCAGAGTTGCTCCCATCCATTCTTGAGGACCTGCGCTGCTCTGATTCTGAGGCCCAGGCTCTCAAAATGGTGCTATGTTGGTGATAACAAAGCACCCGCATGACTGCGAGGTTTTCTTTTTTTTTTTTTTTTTTTTTGGCAGACTGCCAGTACTATGTTCGTCATAACAGAGTTAGATTTTCCTCTTGGTCGTGATAACAAAAGGGAAGTTTTGAGCCCTTACAAAGGAAAAAAAGAAGGGTTTGGCTATGCTTGCAGGGCGCCCCTGTATAGCCTTACGGAGGTGAATTTGAGAGGGTTTGAGAGCAGAATATAGCTGAAGTGCTATTAGGCAGGTGACTTCTAAGGCCTCAGCACACAGCTTGCCAAATGCTAAAAATCGTGAGTGAAGTGCATGATTCCAGTAAGTTGGAGAGGACAACTGCCAAACGGAACTGCAGCGTTGAAACAAACTGCGGCCGCTAACCTGACCCATAACTGTTGGCCGAATTCAGCAGCCACTACTGGGTTTTCTTTCTCCAGCCACAGCTCTGGCAGGCCGTGGTGGTTTTCGTGCCCGTCAAATCAACCTATGTCAGAGATACATTGATAAAACACTGACTCACTGAGCGTCTAACCCGAACTGAGAGGTAAGCGGCCGTAAGCCTAGGTGTAGGTGACTTCGAGTACCAAGAGCTGCAGGCACTGAGAACGAGCGTGAGAGGTGATCCACATAGCGCTGCTATCATCGGACAAAATGCAGACTATGGAGTATGGACCTACCCTGTGCGAACAGACATAAACATTGGTTTGGACAGGCCCACAGCATACAGCGAAGCTGACCAGCGGGAAAAAGGTATTTGAACCCTCAGCCTAGCAGGGAAACAAAGCTCTATGTCTGCCTCTTTCGACAATGGCCTCAAACAGATATAATCATGCAAGGCGCTGATGAAGCTCTTCTTTCTTTCTTTCGTTTTTTTTTTTTTTTTTTTTTCCCCCAATTATTAACCAGAGCTCCAAACTATTTGTGGGGAACAGCAAGGCCCTGATTAAGCTCACTCTCACCTTATCCAATATTCTGCAACCGTAATAAGCACCATCATCATTTGGCATATCAAATCCCAACCGCGGGTTTAATACTCTGACTTTTCAATCATTCAGCAAGCAAAATTAACTGGCAGCAGAAATGTAGGATTCACTTTGTGGACAGTTTTAATTTGCTTTTTTTTAACAAGGAATGTTGTACCTGGCCGCGTCCACAAGGATTTGATCTCATTAACTGTCAGCTTACCTTTGTATGTCCCGAGCCCCGATTTCTGTCCACATGCATTGGGCTAGGTAACTTACATTTCGTCAAAACGGACATGTTATATTTTTTGAACGAAATTAAAACTGCATTTTTGGCCGAAATCAGGTCCAAATTTTTGGCTCCTGGAACGCCGGACCCCCTGGAGGGACCTGGTTAGTAGACGTTCTCTTCTCAGTGTATGGCTGGAATCTTGGTTAGCAGAGTGAGTCTTCGTATGAGCACTGCTTCAACCCACCCAACGCTGACTTTTTCCTTTTTCTGGTTTTTTGCGTAAAGCTCCATGTGGAATGTACCCACACAGCGCACATGTCCGAGTCACCGAGTGGCCCCATTTGACTGGATGCTTTGTTTCTGACTGTTGCTGACAGCGAGCAACAAGCAGAGACAAATAGCTCATGGTAACCGGGACGCCTTCCTTGGAGGCCATTTCAAAAGTAGGGGAGGAAGTTTCTTGAAATCACCTTGTTCCCACTAAACACACCACACCCCGCCGTTGGGCCTTTTTCATTGGTTTTCTTTCCCCGTCTCAGCCGTCTGACACCACGGCCGACCCTTGTAGTTATGACACCCAGCGTGGACCATGGCGCACAATGCTTCCGTTGCCCTTTCGGGTTTGGCGACCATTGTTTTTACCCGTTCGTGTTTTTCTTGCCAATTTGAAACTGTTTCGTGACAATAACGGACTTACCCCCCCCCCAAAAAAAAAAAACAAAAACAAAAACAAACATCATGAATAGCCAGAAGACTCTGTAATCACAATTTGATGTCTCCAAGCAGCACCCCAGCCTCTTGCACAGTCATGGACAGTCTGCTTCTCCTAATTTGATGTCTCCAAGCACAGCTACAAGCCGCCCTGACCTGTATGATCACTGCCAGCTTACTCCTTTCAGACAATCACTAGATAGATAGATAGATAGATAGTTGCCAAGTAACATCAGCCGTTGACTCTAATGTTTGACTCTAATGTGAAACTTGGGAGACAAACAGACACACTTCAATGACTTCATGATGAACCTAGGAGTCAAGACAGGGCTCAAGACAGGGCAACACAAGCCAAGACAGACTCTGAGGATGCAGGAGGAAAATATAGGGGAGAAAGGAAAGTAAAAGTAAAAGCGAAAAAAGTTACTAATTCAGTTAAAATAACTCAATGACATGTCCATTCATAGTTGGTGAAGAATCACCTTCTCAACATTGGAATCAGAAGTCAGACGGTCCGTGACGGAGGACCAAGATGCAAACCTGCAGGCCAAACCTGATTCAGAATTTTTACCGGACAGCGTGGACAAAGAGAATATTATGGAGAGGAAGCAACATTACATTATCAACGAAGCAGATGGAAAATGAGGTCCACTGTGAGAAGTACTGAGACTGAGATGCTTTGATACATGTGATCTTACCCGGGTTCTCCGTCTAATCTGAGATGAAACTGGGCATTCTTCTCCCAAATTGCACTGAACATAGAGGAAACTGAGAAGCATGCTGCAAAGTGATGCAGACGCGATTATCACGCTTTACCTCCCCGTCGAGCGCTGTCACGTCCACCCTTCCACGTCGACACTGTGACTGAGCTACTCACACAGGCTCATCCTTCGCACGTCCTCAATTGAGTCAGCAAGTTGCACTTGCTGAGCAATACGCTCTAGTGCAGGAAGAATGGCACCTTCACCTGTCATCATGCTAGGTCGAAGGCGCCTGTTAGGATTCGCACACCTCAGACCGACTGCTGCTGCTTCCATGGCCAGATCCACGTCCCAACTTCCTGCGTTTGGGTCCAGGGTATTTGTAAAGTTGGCCGGATCTTCTACTGCGTCTTCCATAATTCCAAATGCATCCTTGAACTTTCCGGTGAGGATCTCCAGGATGGTGATGCCGAAGGCATAAATGTCAGTCTGCTGAGTGAAGACCTCAGTGCGGAAGAACTCTGGGGCCATGTACTGAGCATCAACTCTAGGGGATATAGGCATTCGGGGTGCCCCATCGACTGGGGCAATCAAGGCCGCGTCAACCTCAGCAAGTTTTGCCACCAAGTTGTTAGTACCCAAAAGGATGTTTTCGGGCTTGATGGCACGGTGGATGATAGGACATACACTTAATGAGCTGCTGGAATGAAGGAAGGCCAAGGCTTGGGCAACCTGAGCCATAATCCGCAGGCGGATGTACCACGGCAAGAAGCCCCTCTGTGGCCCTTCGGCGGAGGAGATCCATTCTTTGACATTTCCATTGGCCATGGGCTCGTACACGAGGCAGTTTCCTCCGTAGCACACCCCAACCAGGCACTGCAGGTGGGGGTGTCGAAGAGACCTCAATGCGTCCACAACCTCGGTCGTCAGTTCTGCATGCTGATTCGGTGTCAGGCTATTTCCACCCTCGAGTCTCTTTACGGTCACAGGTGTGATCCTTCCCATGTAAACGCATCCGTAATGTCGCTCCTCGAGTTTGCAGTTATTGCTGAAGTCATTCGTGGCAGACTTCAGTTCGTCCAGGGAAAACTCTCTGAATGGATGTTGGTCGACCATTAGAACCTCCTTTGTAACTTCACCCGATCTGTCCAATCTCTGTTTTACTACCCCCCTTTCGGCCCGCACATTGCTTATGTCGTTCTGCAACTGCTTGACCCTCTCTAAGTGCATGCCTTTTTCTCTCTCATGCTCCGATTGGAATCTCTCAAAGGCCTTTCCTAATGCCTGTCTCTCGATCCTCCCATTTCTGAGCTCAGTCTCAAGCTCCTTGACTCTCTCTGCATATGTTTGCCTCTCTTTTTGGAATCCCTCCTCGAGTGCCCTTCTCTCCATCCTCATGGTTTCCAATCTCTCAGCTGCACCTCCATCCATCTCCAACCTGCATTGCGAATGTTGAACCTTGGCCTTTGATTCCTCTAATCTCTCTTTGAGTGCCTCTCTTTCCACCAACAGATTGCCATTCTCATTCTCAAGTTGCTTGATCCTTTCTGAGTGCATGCCTTTTTCCCTGTCATGCTCTGATCGCAACATCTCAAAAACCTCTCGTAATTCCTGCCTCTCCATCTTTATGTTGATTAGCTCAGTCTCAAGCTCCTTTATCCTTTGCGCGTGTGTTTGCGTTTGTTTCTGAAGTTCATCTTCCAGTGCCATATTCTCTGCCCTCACAGCCCCCAACTCGGTCTCCAAATGTATTATCCGCGATTCTTCCATTTTCTCAATCTGGAGTTTCTCGTCACTTTCTTCCCTCCCATCTCCCACCTCAGATTTTCCCCTTTCCTCAAAGTCGGCCTTGGGAGACATACCTATCTTGATGACACACACTTCATCTTCGAGGTAATCCCAAAGCACAAGCATACTTTCATTTCTGCCGGGAAAGGCGTAAAACACATGCGTCAGCCCACTGCGAAGACTTCTTATGCACTGATAATTTGAATCACTCCACACTTTGATCTCTCCGTCTCTGGACGTGCTGAATATGTATGGCAGATGTGGATGGAAGTAAACAGATACAACTCGGCCTTCATGAGCTTTGAGAGTGGTCACACAATTTTCCCTCTGATAGTCCCACACATGTAGCCTACCCTCCCCATCGCCCGCGATGATAAGTGACTCTTGGTGTCTAGGGCCGAGTCCCACAGAAGTAGGGCATATGCCTGGTGTCCATGTTGGTTTCCATGTTTGCAGCGGAACCATCTTCTTTGCATCCCAAACCATGACCGTATTGGAAGCCCCACACAAAAATATGTATGGCTCAGCAGTACGGAAGCACGTCCAGTATATAGGACCTTCCACACCACCTGTCTTGCTGTGGAAATCCCTGTCTAAATCCCAAAAGTTAATCACACCTTCCCCCGAATAACCGCTCCCAGCTACTAATACGTGCCGAACGTATGGATGCACAGTCAATGTCACTGCCGACAGACATTTCATGACCTGGAATGTCTTGCTGTGTTCCATTCGGAAGTCTTCAGTGATCCTGTAAACAATCAGAGATGGCCCTTTGTTGCTGTTTATTTCACAAACGGGAGCATCGAGTAACACTGCCAAATCCTTCTCTCCTATGAACTTGGCGCCAAGAACACGCCTGTCTACATCAGAAGGCTTGAAGGTCAATTGCTGCTCGCTTTCATAATTGAGCACTTGCACCGGGTCTTCCACACCATAAAAAAAGACAACCCATGGCTCGCGAGGGTGCGCATGACCAAGCTCCCCTTCAATGCTATCCCACTTCTTGACATCTGCTGTGAGCTCTAGACCATTGTCGGGATCCTTACCTGCCATGGTGCGTGGATGCATTGGATGGTTGGTAGTAACTTGGTACAAAAAAACTGCAAGAGAACCGAAAAGGTACGATGAAGGGGGGCGGCTGGGAATGACACGGGGGAGAAACAAAACGGCAACAGTACTGGGCACGTAACTGAACAGAACTGCCAACAGTGCCGAGCGAAAGGGAACTTCAAGGATGGAAAGATGGGATGGAATGGAGATGGATCTGAGACACCACGGAAGAAATGGGAGACAATGATGGGGAACGGTTCGAGACGAAGCACTGGAGGACGATGATGGGAAACAGTTTAAAAGTCTGCGAGGAGAAAGGGGGGAAGGAAACAGGTTTTCAAGGCATGGTGTGTTTGGCATGAAAGCACCCAAGAGCACCAGTGTTCAAGTTTGATGGTTCTGCACCTGACCTCGACTCTGCCACGCTTGGTGAAGAAGTGACCAGAACTGAGGGCGGCACAACCTTACTTGCGCACAGCGAGCCGAGTCTCTCCATTGTTACAAACAGGTACAACCATAGATCTGAGCATGCTGGCAAATTACTCTGTGAACTTATAAGCACATTTGC